AAGCAACGCAAGAATGATTTGGAGCCAGTTATCTTTCTACCTCCCTGAAACAAGTCCTTGAGTCCTCGGTGGGGGGATTGGACCCATGTATGTTGTCCCTGTCTGCACGCTGCCCCCACCACCCCTGGCCTGCAGTCAGGGCCCAGGGCTCTAGTCCAGCCACTTGCCCGTTATTGGACAAAAGGCTGGGACAGCCACTGCAGATACTTCCAAGGAGACAGTCCATTTCTCTTCCTCCCAGGGGCTCCTGCTAAAACCATGTTAAACTCAAAGACTTTGGAGACTGGGCCAGCCAACTAACTAGCCAGGAGCCTCTGGGGGAGAGGGGAAATGGGCCTGAGCTTTGTGAATGTTTTCATGGGAGGAATTCCAGAGGGTATAGAAAAGAAAAAAGGAGTGCAGTGCGAATAATCCAGCAAGAATCTTTCCCCTGGAGACCCTACCCATGACTGGCCCTGACTTAGTACATTGTGGGTAAGGAGAGTTATCTTCTGATTAGGAGCTTTTGAACTCCTGAAGCCTTTGTGTCCTTTTAAGAAAAACCCTTTTTGGGTCACCTTGCAGCCTGAGGCTCACTGCCACCCACAAATATTGCCAAATCCTATTTAACTCAAGGTCATTATGGGAAACTGGATTGTTATCCTGCCCCCTCCAAATAAATGAACATTTCCTGGACATGTCAGCTGTCTGCAGAGGCTCCGGTACTCCTCCTCTCTTTCCCTTTAGGGGACCTTTTCCCTTGATCCAATCCCACCAGAATCCAGGCAGGGAGGGCTCTCAGATGGAGCCTGTGCTTCCACCGAGGGCAGAAGCAGAGCCATCCATGGCTGCACACTGCCGCCTGCCTCCCAGCTCTCTCCACACGCCTGAACCGCCCCCAAGCACACTGCTCACGCTGTCCACAACCCGCTCCACCATCTCCGTAAATTTCCCACCCCCGCAACACTTGGCCCTTTGTCCCCAAGCCCACTGGGCTCCAAAACACTCCCGGCTCTGGGGGTTGTCCCAAAGTCCTCTCACTGGCCCCAGATGGACTCATGCAAGGAGCTGCGATTCCAAATTCCCCACCGTGACAGCAAGCGGAAGGCTCATTAAAAAGTAGCTCCAGTAATTGGTCAGATAATTAGGAGTTATGGGGAGCGCTCCTGGTCATCCATATTGGTCTGATGACTGAACCTAGCCTGAGTGGCCCTGGGAGTTCCACAAGCCATCATGGATCCTGTTTTTGGTGACCGTGACACCCATTTAAGACATAATTCTAACTGGCCCTGGGTTTCTTCCCTAGAACAGGTTGTCCATTCCAAGTTAGGTGGATCATGGCTCCCAGTGCATGAACTTGCAGGCTCCACTCTGCACAACTCCCAGCCACCACACACTTCTTTCAATTTTGGATTGTTTATAGTCAGTCAGGTTTTTCCAGATTGACTAAGAGTTCCTCATATGCCTACTGCAGTCAGTGACAAGAGCAGTAAAAGAGACCCAGGACTTGGGCCAGCTGCAAGACTCAGTAGCATCTCTGTGGGATGCAGACAGCTAAGGAATGGCAATCACAGGCAATTGTCCCAAACTCCACCTCTCTTCCCCAAGGACACACTCATCTCCCCTCCTGATTCCCCTCCACAAAGGGCCTTGGGAGCCCTTCAATGAGGCATCTCCTCAAGGAAACAAAACTGCTGAGAACAACTCTCACTTCCCTTTATTCAGTGTGTCCAAGGGTTAAAAACACTTCGGAGCTCCCCTTCCAACTGCAAGGTCAAGCAGCTGTCCAAACCACCCAAGGAGAAAAGGGAGCCCTGGACCGCCAGACCCCGGCTAGTTTGGCCAGGACAGTCCCCTGCCAGCCTGGCTAGGGAAGAGTTAATCGGGTGATCAGCTTTGGCTGATAGTTCAGGCTCCAAAGTTCAGTCCCAGTCACAGCCACCCCAGAGGAATTGTAAATCTCAGGGCAGTATTTAACAAAACAAAAGCAACCTGGAATTACATGCAGGTTTGGTTTTCTACAGTACATATTTACTTAATCCCCAAGGTATGTGGCTCCATGTCAGATCAGCTGGCTCTGCTGGCCCTTTCACCCCCGGTTCACAACAGTTTAAGTTTCAAACTAATTCCCTGTTTTCGCTCTTCCTCCTCACAGGGCCTGCTGAAGACAGGCCAGCCTGCCCGCCTCAAATCCCTCTCTTGTCACTGGGTGAGTCAGCGTGGCCTGGGTTAGGAGCTGGGTGACAGCTGGCTCACCCGCACCACTTTCTGGCACTACGTCTTCAAAAACTGAAGCAAGAGGTGCTGGGACCACCAAAAAGCTCAAGGCTGTGCCTGGTGGGGAGGACCCTCCCTGCAGTGCCACCTCCCAACTTCATGGGAAGGAACCCCCTGGGGCGGGGCTGGGGGACAGGGCTGACGGTGAGAACAAGGGTTCTTTATCAGCCGCTGGTTACCCCTGTCCTCTTTGCTGATTGCCTCCTCGTGCCTGTCTGGCCACGCTGGACCATCCAAGGTCGCTCCCCGCTTTTCAAACGCAACCCGAGTACCCCTCTCGTCCTGTCTCCAGAGCTGCAGCCGCCCAGGTTGGAGCTGGGAAGCGGGTTGCCAAGGAAAATATGAAGCGCCAGCTAACAGGCGGCTCCCAGCTCTACCCAGGGGCGCGCACACCCTGCGCTCGCCGGGGTGGCGGCAAAAAGGGGAAAAAGGCGGGGGAGTGGGGGCCGGAGTACAGCACCTTCCTCCGGGAGGGAGGAATGTGGGAAATGGGTGGGTCCCCTCAGTTTCGGGGTGGGGGAGAACAGCCAGCCAGACTCCGGTCCCAAAGGCGCGGATCTGCTCCGGACCTGCCAAAAAAGACAGTCCGGTGCCCGGCAAATTCACAAGGCACTGGCGGGCGGCGCCGGGGACACGGGTGGCCGGGCGGCGCGGGTGCCGGCAGCG